CGCTGAAAGTAGGTATTCTTGGACTCCCAGATTCCAATCTATTTTAAGCGCCGTCCTACTTCAATGATCGAGTGGCTTCACCTTTTTCCGTCCTCCTTAGGGGGCGGATGGAACCCAATACATATATATATATATATATATATATATATATATTAAATGCCTTCTTACTCAATGTTTCTACCTACTCCTTCTGGCCGATGGGTATCCCCTTCTTGTTCGAGGAAGGACAGGCCCACCTGTGCAATCGCTGGAAAAGGGGAGAGGCCCCACTGTGCGCGGTTTTGGTCCCTTGCCCCCTTTGGGCCGCCCTCTCCTAGATGGGCATCGAACGCCGAATCTGCCCCCGATCCCCTCCTGACTGGTTCTACTGGCTCCCATCCAAAGCAGATCCTGAGATCCGACGTGGTGAGAAATAGCAACGCCGTCAAACATTACCACGGCAGCCCCGCACCCCATTTCCTGCGCCAAACGCCACGACCGGAGCCAGATCGATCCGCGATGGCCCCGGGGCCCGAATCCGGGGGAAAGGGGCCCTCGGCGTGCAAACAAAAAGCAATGGTGATCGTTCTCGTATGCATTGTTTTGCCGATCGACGCGGGCCCTCGCCACCCCCACCCCCCCCATGGGGTATTTCTTGGCTATTTTTGGCGCCTGTTTCGAGCAGGTGGAGTCGCCCCCATGGGACGCACTGTTGCAAACGGTCGCACTCAGCAGAGGTCCGGAGCCAGACCCCCCCCCCCTTCCCGCCCAATGTCGAAACGCCGAATCAGACAACGTTGATATGCCCAGATCTCAGGGTGCCGCGACGAGCTCGGAGGAGGAGGAGGAGGAGGAGGAGGAGGGGAGGTCCCGGCCGCCCTCTGCAGGGGGCCGTCTTTCGCCCCGGACCGATTCATTCTTGAGGGCCCTGGGGCTCATGGCCCCGGAGCCCGAACCCGGGGGAAGGGGGCCCGCGGAGCAAGCAGGAAAAAGCATGCCCAGATCCCAGGGTGCCGCGGCGAGCTCGAGGAGATGGGGGAGGTCCCGACCGCTCTGTCCCCGGGGGGGCCGTCTCCCGCCCCTGGCCGAGCCGTTCCTGAGGGTGGCCTGGGCGGGGCTCGAAAGCGGCCCCCGAGGGCCGGCATCGAGGATGAAGAGGCTCGAGTGCCCCGGTCGGAAAGGAGTTCCGCGCCAGGGCCCCCATGACGGGGCGCCTCCAGGCCCTGTAGATTTGTGGAAGACGACCAATGGAAAGGAAGCATGTTGCCAAACAGTTTCCAGATGTCCAAGGCATGCGGAAGCAACCCGTCGAACAAGTGTGAAGCAGTTGCCAACACGTCTGGGACCACTTGCAACACACATGCTTAAACCATAATTCAAATACAGGGCTGTTAGATTGTAAATGCCATGGCATCCACAACCCTAGGCGCCCGCAGCCACTTTGGCCCGACGGGCCGTGCGCGCGCCCGCCTGAAGGGGTGAGGGCGGCGGCGCGGGCTGCTCGGTTGCGCTCGAACTGGGCACGGGAAGAACGGGTGCGCTTCGGTAGCAACTCATGCCGAGAGAAGCATCGAAGAAGGAAACGGCATATACATAACCGTTGAGCGCTCCGCGCGGATTTCTTCAATCCGCGCTGGCCGCCCCCCCCCGGCGGCGCCTCTGGCGCCGCCCCTGGCACGCGCCGCGCGCCAGGGAGGGGGGTCCAGCGCAGATCCAAGAAGTCCGCGCGGAGCGCCAAAAGTTTATGTTTACGGACGCAGTTTGTTTCTCCTTCTAGGCATGCCGAGAGAAGCATGGGGAGCATGTCCAAGATGTCGCGGGATCTTGTCGATACAGAGCTTGGTCATGGACCTCGTCGGCCGTCGCCGACTCGCGCCATGGTCCACGGATTGGCGCTGACCAGGATCGACGGTGACCAAGATCGGCACGACGTTTCCGCGTTCAGTCTTGGGCATTTTGCCCGTTTTTCCCTTCCATCCTGAGAGCCTTGCATGTCCTTGAAATTCAGTGTTCGGAGCGCACTAGCGTGCGATAGCGTCTGGTAATCGATGAGAGAGCGCCGAACTCGCGTCGGGGTTCGTCGGTTTACCGTCGATGAGCGTGGATTCGAAAGGGCCGTGGAGATGTTCGAGCAGACTCCCGCGACTTGCCGCAGAAGGTAATTACGTTGCACCCCGCAGTTGCGGATAAGAGTGAGGGAGCGGGCGCGGGGTGGGCGCGGGTGAGTCTGGTGTGGACCGCGGGGTGGGTCGCGGGTAGGTCGCGGGCGGGTCGCGGGCGAGGGCGACGACAGCGCAACAACAATACAGTAAGCATAGTCCGCTGGATCCAACGCCACTTTTGCCACGCACCCAAAGACAATGAATGACCGTTCGGCCCCTTCACTCTGACGAAGACCGACGGGGGGAAAGGTGGAACAAGAACGGGCCGTCGAGATGACCCGGCTGTGGTGGTAGCAGGTGTCTTCCCTTCTGTTTTCTGCAGCAGGTGCCTTCCCTTCCTTGCAGCCCTCCTGTCTTGTGCAGCAGTTGCGTCACCTTCCATGCCGCCCGCCTGCCTTGGGCAGCGGGCGCTCTCCCTCCTTCGTCCCTGGCCTTCCTCCTGCCTTGGGCTGCGGGCGCCCTTCCCTCCGCTTCTTCCTACTCAGCCCTCTTCTCCTGACTTCGGCGGGGCCTCTTCCCTCCTTGTCCCTGACCTCCCTCCTGGCTTCTGCAGTGGGCGTCCGTCCCTCCTCCTCCTCCTCCTCCTCCTCCTCCTCTTCCTCCTCCTCCTCCTCCTCCCCCTCCGCTTCTTCCTCCTCGGCCCTCTCCCCCTGGCTTATCCAGCGGGCCTCTTCTCCCTCCTTGCCCCAGGCCTCCCTCCTGGCGTCTGCAGCGGGCGTCCGGCCCTCCTCCTCCTCCTCCTCCTCCTCCTCCTCCTCCTCCTCCATCCTCCTCTCCTCCTCCTCCTCCTCCTCCTCCTCCTCCTCCTCCTCCTCCTCCTCCTCCTCCTCCCCCTCCCCCTCCCCCTCCTCCTCCTCCCTCCCCTGCGTCCTTTGACGAAGACCGACGGTCTTCCACCTCCTTCTTGGATTCTGGTGTTTCAACCTACTTTAGCCTTGATCACAAGAAGGAATTTTTGAGAACCACGGAAGTACCGAAACTGAAGGGTTTTCGCGTGTCGCGCCCTGGGAGGCGATACTCGTTCGACACGGTTTCGACACTCTTCTGGGTGCTCGAAGCTATGTTTGGGATGTGGTCTTGAAGAACGATGGGGGCAGCACAATTCTTGGACAGGACGCGGGTCGCGGAGTTCGGGCGCAGGCAGCCGGCGTTGACGGCACCCCCACCCGATGAGCGTTTGTCTCATTTTCTGCTTCTCTCTCCCCGTGTTTCCGAAGACACGGCGAGCGCCATCGCTCGCCGTGCCCTGGCGGTGTATTGCGTCTACGCGGCATCCACAGCGGCGCGCCACGGGGCCACCTCCAACGCGTGGGAGGCCATGTGGCAATACGCCAGGGAAGTTTGTGCTGCGCATCCTCGCCCCGCATCTTTCGTGACCGCAGTGTGGCAAGGCTGAGTTTGTTCCTTCCTCCTCTCTCCGCTCTTCGTTGTTGTCGTCCGTGGTCGCTGCCCTGTACCGTTTTGCGTGTATGTTGTACTGAGTCGCCAACTAGCGCGACACCTTGGGAGCACGCCTTATTCTGGTCAGCGGGGCGCCCAGACTCACAGGAGTCGGCTGGCGATGACCTGCAGGGCTTTGCTCAGTGCTCTCCATCCTTCTCCTCCTCCCCCTCTTTCCTCTCCTCCTCCTCCTCCTCCTCCTCCTCCTCCTTTGCTTCCTCCTCCTCCAAGTGGTGTCCGCTAGCTGCTGCTCTGCGCAGGGGGGGCACGATTTGTCCGCTCCAGCTGGCGCCTGCGGTCGGCAGGATCTTAGTCGCGATGTTTGACGTACCGGCCTATCCTCGGTTTTAGGCTGGCGCCCGAGTTTGTCTCCTCCTCTTCCCCTCCTCCTCCTCCTCCTCCTCCTCCTCCTCCTCGCCGCTGATGGCCTATGCTGTGTTGGTTCCGTTTGTGTGGATCTTGCTCTGGCGCGCCATTGTCTGTGGCCTGTAGCTTCGTTTGCCGTGGAAGAAAAATCTGGGGCTGGACTCGTTGTCGGTGTCGCCGCGAACGTTGTCTATGCGAGACGGAAGCCCCGCCGCCAGGCAGCGGCCGCTGTCGATTTTGGGGGGGCGACGCGTGGTGTTGGGCATCGTCAGAGTGTGTGTGGGGGGGGGGGCGACCGGCGACCGGTCTTACACCGTCCCCGGGTGCGTGGGTGAGGTGGGCTTCCGTGGCCCGGTTTACGCGTGCTTGCTGACTGTTGAGTTCTCATGTCTGAAGTTCAGTCTGAAGGTAATTATGTGTTGATCCTCCACCCTGGTGCCCAGTGTGCGTTTGAATTGAGCTGCCTCTCCTGGGTCTCGCACCCAGTTTTTATTACAAGGGACAGTCTTGCGCGTCCGACTCTGCTGTTGGTCTCCGATTTAACAGCGGCTCCCGCCTGATACCTCTCCAGAGTGAGTTGAGAATATGGTTTTCGCTGGAGACTTCCATGCAAGCTGTTCGGGGATGGCGCTGTCGCTTGAGACTTCCTCACAGCGTATTAGCGAAAAACTGTCTCGGCCCTCTGGAGTCGCGCTTTAGCTCGGGATTTCCTCATGTACTATTCCGAAGTCTTGCCCTTGCCTGCGACTTCCGTGGTTGCTGATCCCTCTCGTCCTCCATCTTCTCCTTGCTTCCTTCCCTCCTTCCCCCCGTTCCCTCCTCCCTCCCACCGCTCCCTTCCTCCTCGCTCTGCGCGGATGGCGCGAGGCAGCGAAGGAAAACACACCCCAAGAGGGGCACGCGCCAAGACGAACAGGGCGGGTGTCGAGGGCTCGGGAGGTGCATGCTGAAAGACACGTGGGCACGTGAGGGCAGGCAGTCTCAGAGTGCGCCGCGGGGCGCCCCCGGCCAGCAGCCCGCGGCGCGCGGGCGGCGGCCCCTGCGCGGCCGAACATGCGGCCCGCCGCCGGGGAGGCGCTCCCGCCGCCGCAGGACGACGCGCAGGCAGGGGCCCACTTCGAGCCCCACCAGGCCACTAGGCCACCCCCACCCAACCCGAAGGCCCCCATTCGCTCTCCATTCCCAGTGGGGGGGCGTCGGGGCACGGGGGCAAAAGCACGCGTGGAACCCGTACACCCCCCCCCCGCCAAACCCGAGATTCGGGTCTTCGGGTTGGGTTGGGGTGGTCTCCTCCCCAGATCTCCAATGATCCCCAAGGCCTCCGAGATGGGATCCGAGGAGATGTGGTCGGAGGATCGCGCTTCATCGACGATGCCTCGGCGATGCGGCTCGATGTGGAGCCCGTCTTTCTCCACACCAACGGCGCTGTTGCATCGCCGATGCATGGGCGATGTAGCGCCGATGCTACAGCGATGCGGCGCGATCCTTCGACCCCATTCATTCGGACCCCATCTAGGAGGCCTCTAGATATGTTTTTTTCAGTCCTGGTCTGGTTTCCTCAATGCCGGTCCTCCCTCACAAATAGATCGGGGGCGAACAACTAGCCCAGGGGGCAGCGGTCGGGACCTATCCCCCACCTCAGAGGTCGTCGCTGCACCTTGAGATCTGGGTGTTGCTTTTTTGTTTGCTCGCAGGGCCCCCCGGTTTCGGGCATGAGACGCTCACAGAGGGATCCGGCTAGAGAAACGCTGCAGGAAATCGTCACGTTGCACTGTTGTTCTGAGACGTCGGATCTCAGGTCACTTCGCCTCACGGCCAGCCCTGGGGAGCAGGAACATGCATTTGGGCAGCCGTGCTGTGGAAAGGTACTCCAGATTTCGTAATAAAAGGGAGGGGGTCTGGACCCTCCAAGACAAGCCATTTCAGACCTCCCCCGTGGGAGAACCCTCCAAAACATCGTCCCCAGACCCCCCCGGCCCTCCAAGACAGCCTGGAAGAGACCCCCCCCCGAAATGAGACCCCCCTCCCTTTCTTACGAAATCTGGAGTACAGCCTCGGACGCCTGGGGATGCGGTCGCTCCGCTGCGGTGCCGAGTTCACCGGGGGCGAGGCGGTTCGGCCTCGAGGCTCCCGGGCGGTCCCGTGCCGCCCGGTGTTCGCCCGCCGCTCGGGTGTGCCCCCGGGGCGCCAGCCTGTGCGATGCGATCTCGGCCTCGTGCCGCCGCGGCCCGATCCGACGCGCCGCATGGGATCCCAGGCGTCCGACGCAGTGAGTTTCTCCATGCGGGGCTCGGCATCGCTCGGACGTGTGCCTTTTTCCTTCGGCGAGGGCCATCGAGGGGCATTGCATTCCTGATCATTTGGAGAAGAAACCACGCACGGAATCAAAAAAAAAAAAAACAGGGGATGGACGTCCGAGCGATGGCCAGGGGGTCTCAAGGCGTCCCGACCCTTTCCTCGGGGTCAGCTTTTCATCCTGAGTCGTGTATGCCGGTCCCCAGGCCTGGCGAGGGAGCGAGAAAAGATACACGTTCCCGCATTGAGTTTCTCAACGCGTTGGAGGTCTGTGGGATTCGAGATCATATGCCTCGATTCTTCAGGCCTCCCAATCAGGGATCGAGCAGCTGGCCGAGGGATAGCGCCGCATCGCCGATGCATCGGCGATGCGGCTAAATGTGGAGCTCGATTTTCTCCATGCCGACGGCGCCTATGCATCACCGACGTCGCCGACGCATCGGCGATGCAGCGCGATCCTTCGACCCCCATCCCCAGACTTGAGGAAGACGACCAATGGGGAGGACGCACATTGCCAGATGATTTCCATATGTCTAAAGCTTGTTTGAAGTCTGTTTCGAATGTGCCAACACATGTGTTAAACATGTTTCGAACACGTTTGAAACACGTAGAAGACATGTGACATACATGCTCATAGAATTCAATGATAGAACGGTTTGGGTGTCCATTGTCATGGGACCCACAGCCTTTGTGGGCCCGGGAAGCGGCAGGGTCGTTTTTTCACCGTTTCCCAAAAAATGTCCTTTGAAAATGGAAACAGCAAAAAAAAACCACCTGAAACGGCAAAAAAAACGCTCCAGGATTGGAACGGAACCGGTAAAAAAACGGCGTCGGAACCGGCGAAAAACGACAAAACGGAACCGGCAACAAAAACTGCCCTGTCGTTTCCAGGGCCCACTAAGCCCACAGCCCCAGGCAAGCGATGCCCTGATGTTTCAGCCAGGTCCTCATCGCGAGGCGCTTTCTGACGAGTCCGGGGCCCGGCCAGGGCCCCCCAGGAGCCGACGACGGCGCCGGCCTGGTCCGACGCGAGCACGGCCGGGTCTGTGCTCGGGCCTCGGCCGGTAAGCCTCGAGATCTCGGCATCGCTCGCACGTGTGCGTTCTCTCTCTCTCTCTTTTTCGGCGAGGCCGGCGCCGGAAGGCTGATACCGCCTCGGAGCATCTTGGAGCACCTCGGAGCACCCTGAGAAATGAGAAGCACGCACGGAAGCAACCGGTGCACGGTGGTCGTTCCCTATCCATTGTTTTGCCGATCGGCGCGGGCCCTCGCACCCCCTCCCCGCCATGGAGCACATCTTGGCTGTTTTTTGGCGTCTCTGTCAAGCAGGTGGAGCCTCTCCCCCGGAGGACGCCCCCCCCTTCCCCCCCTCGAGGCCTCCTGAGTAGATGAGGTCGGAGGATCGCGCCGCATCGTCGATGCATCGACGATGCGGGTCGATGTGGAGCCCGTGTTTCCCCGCACCGACGCCGCCGACGCATCGCTGACGTCGTCGATGCATCGCCGGCGCATCGCCGATGCATCGGCGATGCAGCGCGATCCTCCGACCACATCTACTCCGACACCATCTAGGTAACCAGCCTGGAACATATCCCTATCCCTATGCTGGGCATCTCCTCATCACGATGCCAATTTTAGGGATCCCCTTATTTTTCGAGGCCGAATCCCTAAGATTGTCATCGCCTTTTGGCGTGTCAATCTTAGGGATAGGGGTACGTTCGAGGCTGGTAACGTTCGGGGCTCCGTGTTCCTTGAGTGTTTCGCAGCTTGCCTCAGGTTTTCCTTAGGGTTTCGAAGGGAACTCGAAGTTCAACTTATGGAAAATAGGGGCCTCGTTCCTTATTTAGGGTTCCTTAGGTCAACGCCCCGACTGTATCCCCCCCCCCCGTCCGCCCCATGTAGAAACGCCGAATGGTAAAAACGCACGCCAGGGGAGCAGGCAGCGCATGGGGGATGGACGTCCGAGCGACGGCGAGCAGCTGCGGCGCCGCCCGCTCCCGGCAGGCCACGCTCCTACTCTCCGCGGGCGGCCCGGAGCGCGCGCTTGCCAGGCTCCTCCTCCTCCTCGTCCTCCTCCTCCTCCTACTCCTTCTCCTCCTCCTCCTCCTCCTGCCTTCCTTCTTTCTCTTCTCCTCCTCCTCCTCCTCCTCCTCCTCCTCCTCCCTCCTCCTCCTCCTCCTCCTCCTCCTCCTCCTCCTCCTCCATCTCCTCCTCCTCCGCCATTCCTCTCTCCCCTCCTCTCTCCTCTCCTCCTCCCCCCTCCTCCTCCTCCTCCTCCTCCTCCTCCTCGTCCTCCTCCTCCTCCTCCTCCTCCTCCTCCTCCTCCATCCTCCTCCTCCTCTCCTCCTCCTCCTCCTCCTCTCCTCCTCCTCCTCCTCCATCCTCTCCATCCTCATCATCATCATCATCATCATCATCATCATCATCATTCATCCTCCTCCTCCTCCCCTTCCTCTTTCTTCTCCTCCTCCTCTTCCTCCTCCTCCTCCTCCATCTCCTCCTCCTCTTTCTCCTCCTCCTTCTTCATCTCCTCCTCCCCCTCCTCCTCCTCCGTAGCCATTTCCTCCTCCTCTTCCGTAGCCATTTGAGCTCAAGATGCTTTGTTCCACAGGGGAAACGTGGATACCGCTAGTCCGCGGCCAGTGCCAGGGCTGCTCAGCCCGACAGTTTTGCAAAGGGGTGGTCCGCCCCACTCTCTCGAGTCTGCGAGTTCCTCGCCATGGCGCCGAAGGCTCAACCAGGTTTCATCATCTGCACATCGTGCCGCTTCAGGTGGAACTTCCACAAGAACACTCACTGCTGGACGTGTGGCCAACCCCTCGAGCTCAAGCCAGACAGCCCGTCGCCGCGCAATGGTGTCTGGGCGGGCAATGGAGCTGGAGGGGCGTCGACGAAGGCCAGCCCCAAGGCCAAGGCCGCGGCGTCGAGCGGGAGCCCCAAGACCAAGGGCGCAGCGGCTGGCGGGGCGGCCGATGGTCGCCGCGACTTCCCTGGCGCCCCCTGGTCGTCGGCTGGGTCTTCGGAGCTCGACAAGCTGCTGGCCATCCCCGACCCGATCATCGCGGCCAAGCTTCGGGAGGCAGTGGCGGAGGCCCGCGACTTCGTCCCGCCGCCGCCGGCAGCAGCCCAGCGGACCCTGGAGCAGCAGCAGCAGTCGGCCACGGATCGCCGCATTAACCTCCAGCGCCAGCTGGACGAGGCAGCCGACGCCCTGTTGGCGGTTGAGGATCAGCTGGGCGAATGCCGTGGCTGGCGCGACACCTGCGCGGCCAGCCTGGTGGAGGCCCAGGCGGAGGAGGCCAAGCTCCTGCGCAGCCGCGCCCGGGCCTCTGGCATCGCGCCACCGACATCTGGCGGCTCGAAGTTGGCCACATTCACCTTCGACGTGGAGTCGTTCGAGAACTTCAGCGAGCTTGAGGAGGAGGAGGCCCAAGCTAACCTCCGACAGATCTGCGAGGAGGGCCACAGGGTCACGCTGGAGGCCCAGGCGGTGTTCGAGCGCAACTGTCAGGTGTAGCTACAGCGGCTCAAGCAGGACATCGAGGAGGCCGCGGCCAGCAAATGCCGCATGCGGGGGCGCCCTCAGCCAGACGGGCCCGATGGGGCACCCGCTCAGGAGCCAGCGGCAGCAGCTGCGGCTGAGCAGCAGGCGACCCCTCCCCCCTGTTGCGGCAGCGGCTGCCGCGGCCCCCGCCGCCGCGGCAGATCCCACCAGCGGTTCCCGCGAGCACGCCGCGAAGGCAGCCGAGCTTGGGGCAGCGGCAGCCGAGGCAGCCCGCCAGCGGGCCACCGAGCAGAAGGTTGTCAGCGGGCCTGCTGCGCCTGCTGCTGCTGATGGGGCTGCTGGTCAGTTCGCAGGGTAGCGGCCCCCCGCCAGAGGGGGAGAGGGCGGCCCGCCTGGTCCGCTGCTTGAGCACGTGGCGAGGGAGCCGGGGACACTCGGTAGGCAGCCCCCCCCACGTGGCCCCTGCCTGCGCGGCCCCCGACGGGGGGGTGGTCGAATCACGCCAGGTTGAGACAGACCCCACGGCTGCGGAAGTGCCGGGTCTGGTCCAGAAAACAGAGCGCGCACCCGCGATGGTAGGCGCGGTGGCCATCAGCCTCGAGAAGTGCCTTCCCCACCTGGAGCCCCTGGCGCTGCAGCAGGGCTCGCTGGAGGGCGACCTCCGCATCTGCACCTACCACGGAAACACTTGGAACTCGATCGCCAGTGTCCTCGAGTGGATGCGCAGGAAAGGGATTGAGCCGCACGTGGCGCTCGCCCAGGAGATTCGTTTTTTCCTTCCAGACGGCCGAGGAGCAGGCCCACGGATGGGCCAACCGACGCGGCCTCCAGCTGGCATGCTCGGCAGCGCTCAGGACAGGAGAGGCGGCCATGGCTGTCTCGTCTGGCGTCGGCATCGTCACCTCGAAGTTGCTGGGCTCGGCGGCGCAGGTTCCTCTCCCGCAGGATCTCGCTGGGCAAGGGCGCCACCATTACCGTGATCTCGGTCTACCTTGAGGACTTCGTGGGCCTGCAAGGGAGCAATCGCCAGCTGCTCGCCGACCTCCACGAGTGGCGCGCGCTCCTGGACGACCCTTTCGTGATAGGCGGCGACTGGAACATCGAGGCCTCGGAGCTGGTGGACTTAGGTTGGCCACCCCTCATCGGAGGGGCGGTCCTGGCCCCGGGATTAGCTGCGCGCAGCGACGACGAGTGCGACTACTTCGTCATCTCGGCGGCGTTAGAGGCAATGGTGGGCTCCATCACGGTTCACGCGGAGACGCCGGACGGTCCTCATCAGGCGGTCCCCCTGCGCTTCGAGGCCGCTGGGGGGGGCCCATGGCGCGGGCCCAGCGGGTGCCCGAGGCCTTTGATTTGAAGAGCGCGACCGACGACGCGGCCAGAGGCAGGCGCGACCAGCTGGCAGAGTCGTTGGCATGGCCCCCCGCCGACGCTGGGCCTGAGGGCCCCATCGAGGAGTTGTTCACGCAAGCGGAGCTGGCCTTGCAGACTACAAGGCATGTCGGACGGTGGGGCCCGCTTTTTCAAGGGCAGGGCCAAGGGCATCAGGGTGGTCACCATCCCGCTCGAGGCCAAGGTATATGCGGGCCGACTCGACAAGGCCTCAACCATCACCCAGCGCTGGCTCTCCCTCCGCCACCTCGCCAGGCGCAGGTGGGATCTGGGCCCAGGCGGCGTTGCTCGCCAGGATCTGGTCCCGCATCCGGCAGAGGAGTGTGCCGGGTGAGAGCGGCCCATCGACCGACAGGCCTTCTGGGGCAACTTCTCCGCGCGCGGTTGCGACAAGGCGGCCTGGCTCCACGCCGCCTGCGTGGCCCGTGCGAAATCTTCCCTTGAGGAGGCTGGCCCTTCTACGCGGACCTCACCAAGTACTGCGAGCACATCGAGCACGAGGAGCTCAGGATGGCGGCGCAGGCGCGGGGTTTCGACCATATCTGTCTGGCCCCTCGGAGGGCCAGGATCGGCACCTGCCTCGGCGATGCAGTCATGGCGAATGGCACGGTGGTGGCAGGCTGTTCGTGCGCCGCGGCTTTGCCCAAGCTCCTCCTCGTCTCGGCCCTCAGAGCAGCGGCTATGGCGGCTCCCATTGGCAGGATCCTCGACGTGGTCGACGATGTCTCGTGCGATGTGACGGGGCCCTGCACCATGGTAGCCCGGCAGCTCGCCGCTGCCTATCGAGCCTTCTGCCAGAAGGTGAAGGAGGCCAACCTGCCGCTCCGCAGGAATGAGACCAAGGCGCTGGCCACAAGCAGGACGCTGCGCGAAGCCCTCATACGGCTGGGACATCGAGGAGGGTGACTTCGTGGACGTGCGCAGGGGCCTTGGTGGCGACGCTGTGGCTGGCGCCTACCGACGGGTGACGACCACGGTGGCTCGGGAAAAGGCCGCTCGCTGCCGAGGGAGGAAGCTCGCCGGGCTTTTCAGGCCCTCTGTCAGGCGTGCGAGAGTTTTCAGCGATCATGGGAATGCCCCGCGGCCGTCTGCGTCGGCTGCGTGTCGGAGCCATCAGGGCGAGAGGCCGACTGGCCCGTGGAGCCGCCCTGGGGGTGGCCAGCCTTGGTCAGCCAGGAGGCTGGCAGCGGGGCCCTCTGATGATCGTCACCAAGACGGCGCTGACGGCCTACGTCGAGACGGTCTGGACCTCCTTGCTCCCTGAGTCGGCTGCCCGCTCCTGCCTCGCCACTGGCATGGGCATCGCTAAGAGGCAGCACCATTGGCGCATGGTGAAGGAGCCGATCAGCGCTCTTGTGCTCACGCTCGAGTGGGTCGGCTGGTGGTTCATCAACGGCGACCCCTACGGGATCCATGACGCGCTGGGCCGCGCGTACCAGGTGCGCCGCTACTCGCAGCCTTCTTCGGCCGCATGGTCCCCTTGGACTGCCGACGAGCCATGGGCCTCGAGGAGATGAAGCGGCATGTCTCCAGCATGTGGAACTGGGAGATCCCGCTTTTTTGTCAGCCGATCTTCGACCTGGCCAGCCATCGCTCCGAGGCGTGGGACCTGCACCACCAGAGGGCGCTGCGCAGCCTCATCCAGAACACCTGCCGGCGCCAGGCCAGGGTCGGAGCGGAGGGCCCCTTCCGCCCCCAAGGCTGCCAGCTCTGCGGCCGCCCCGTCGGGCCCCACTTCCACAGGCGTTTCAGGCGCGAGGCTCACGATGGCTGGAGGCGAGAGTTCCTCGAGTCGCCGTTGCGGGAGGCGGCGGACCGAGTCGGGCGCTCGGGCTACCCGAGCTTTTTGCCAGGAGGGCTGTTCCCCGACATCTCTGAGTTGGTCCAGTAACCGTTTCGAACCGACGACTACTTCAAGCGCGCGACCAGCTGGCTGAGTTTCGGGCCCTTCGCCGACGGAGAGCACGTCTTCGTCGATGGCTCAGGGCTCGACCAGAATTTTCCAGCCTGGGGGCTGCTGGCTGGTCCATCGTCGTCTGCGATAAGAACCGCAGGTTGGTCGCCGAGGCGTGGGGCTCGGTCCCGGTGTCGGAAGGGCCTGAGCAGCTGGCCCGAGACGGGGAGGACTACGCTGTGAAGGCCGTCACCGACACC